TGTCGGGCCTTTCCAGATTGAACCAATGTATATTTTACAAGTATTGATTGATGTCTTCTGTCTCTCTAAAACATATAAAACCAAACTGTAGTCCAATCATCTTGAACACATATTCTTCGAACCTCCTGAGGCTATATCCTGGGCATGTCCTTAACCTTGGCAAAACAAACTTCCAAATCGATTGAGACTTAGATACTTTTGGTTTACATGACATACTGACATGACATTTTAAATTATTTTTAATATTCGAATCCTTCATTTATATAGACAAACAAGAATTGTGTCATTTGGACGATTAAGTTTTTTACTTTGTAATGATCTTATATGTAAAGAATGCAGAGGACACAGAAATTTGGTCTGATTGTATATCTGATGTACTTGGAATTCTATTTACCTGAATTCTACTATTTTCAAAATTTCTATGTCAGGAACTGCTTAGCTGTTTAGAGATTGTGAGTTTGAGTGCAAATGGCCCCTGACTTTATAAAACAAAAAACTAGCTCTTCTTTGGCAGGCAAAATGCTTCCACTGATGTGATCTCCTTATTTCACTTTAAATAACAAAAATTGGCTTTTTCTGAATGTTTTGTCTATGCATCATCTTTAACACTTTAATTGATTTGAAATGATCTTGGCCTTGTAAAGTATGCTCACTAAATGGCTGGGTATTTCTTTTTCTTTTTAACCAATGTGAGCATTTTACAGCACCTGGTTTTTTGAAAAGCAGAACCCATGCCATACCTACCAGTTGGCATACAGCCAAGAAAGTCCTTTTGTGTGTGTGTGTGTTTGTGGTGAATCATTCACAGCCTGTAAGATCTATCAAAATAGCTTTGTTTGAAAACCTTGTTTTCCCCATATATTTTTTTTGATGACTCACACTTCAGTGCTTTCATGTCTAGATTCTCTTTTCTTTCTTGTTTCTCATCATGTTCATTCAGAAGATGTTCTTTCACTAGTTCCAAAATTTGTATTTCTATATTCTGTCAGTTTTCATCTTGAAACATACACACAGCAATATGCTCTGAATCATAAAATTCTGCATTAAATCCCAACACTTAAAGAAAACACATATTCTCAATACAGGTTTACCTGCTCTTCTCTTGCCATTTTTATTTAGTACAAATTTATTAACATTTAAAAATCACTGGCACTTAAGAAACTTGAATCTTAATTTTACTCTTAGGAAGATTTTGGCTGCAAGAAACATAAAAACCAATGCTGGGTGGTTTAAATGATAAGAACACTTAACACCTCATGGATGAATACGAAAATAAGGTGGTTCAGGATTAGCTGAATTAGTAGTTCAATAATGGCTTCAAAGACTCAGGATCTTCCCATGTTTCTCTTTTGCCATTCTTTTAAATCTATTTTATTGAGGAATAATTTATATAAAATTCGATTTTAAGCGTATAGAGGAATTTTGACAAATGTATAATAATACATCTACTACCACAATAAAGAAATTTAACATTTGCAACGTTTCAGCTCTTTGCAGTCAAGCCTAGCTCTTCAATTTTGAATAAATGATTACATTGTATATACTCCATTGTGTCTTCTTTCTTTCACATAGAATCATGCTTTTGAGATTCATCCAGCTTGTTGACTGTATTCGTACTTTGCTCCTTTTTATTGCTGAATGATAATCCATTATATAGTAGATAGTTTGTTTGTTCATTTACCAGTTGATGGAAATTTATCTCCAGTTTTTGGCTATTACATATAAAACTGCTCTAAAGATTCCCCTACAAGTCTTTGTGTGGACACAGGTTTCAATTTATCTTGGGTAAATATGCAAATGCTGGGTTGTATGTTAATTACATGTTTGACATTATAAGAACCTGCCAATCTGTTTTCCAAAGTGGCTGTACCATCAACAGCAGTATAAGAGAGTTCCAAGTTGTTCCAAATCCTTATTAACACTTGGTAACTTAATAAAGGTTTTCATTTTGATGTAAATTGTCAATTTCTTCTTTTTAGGTTTCCAGCTTAAAAATTTTTTGTTCCTTACAAGTACACACATTCAAAGATTTTAGATTTTCTGCCAGGTTTTCTCTAAAAAGTTTTAGATTTAGATCTTGTATTTACATTTAGCTGTATGATCAATTTCAAGTTAATTTTTACATGAGGTATGAATTAGGGTTGAGGTTTTTTGCTTTCTTCTTCTTCTTTTTTTTTTTTTTTTTTTTTTTTTTTTTTTTTTTTTTTTTTTTTTTTTTTTTTTTTTTTTTGAGACAGAATCTCTCTCTGTTGCCCAGGTTGGAGTGCAGTGGTACAACCTCGGCTCACTGCAATCTCAGCTCAATGCAATCTCCACCTCCTGGGTTCAAGTGATTCTCCTGTCTCAGCCTCCCTAGTAGCTGGGACTACAGGTGTTTGCCACCACTCATGGCTAATTTCTTTTTTGTATTTTTAGTAGAGACAGGTTTCACTGTGTTAGCCAGGATGGTCTTGATCTCCTGACCTCGTGATCTGCCTGCCTCGGCCTCCCAAAGTGCTGGGATTACAGACATGAGCCACTGCGCCTAGCCTCTTTCTTTTGTGTACATATGGATGTCTAGCTGTTCTAACATCATTTGTTGAGTATCCTACCATTCCTGGGGCTTTAGGTTTATACTTTCTCTGACCTTCATGGTCACAAAATGACTGCAGCCATTTTAAGCATCACATCACATACTATATCTTTCAAGAATGTGTCCAGGAAACTTTTTTTCACCTCTTATTACCTAGATTCAACACGTTTATTTTGTACTGTCTAAACCAATCATTGAAATTGGAATGGAGCCACTATGATTCATTTATTCATTCAACAAGGAAATGGTTGTCTATATCTCTTCTAGGCATTGGGGATACAGTAGTAACGAAAACAGGCAAAAATCTTGCCTGACCTCATGAAACATACAATTTACTGAAAAAACTGTCTTTTGTCAAAATAAATAATAAATTGTATAATATATTGCTGTATAGCAGTAAGTACTAGGGGAAAATACAGGGAAAGAAGCTATGAAATATTGTGGGTGGGTTGAAATTTCGGATAGGATTGGTTCAGGAAAGGTCTCATCGAATTAACTTTTAAATAAAGACCTAAAGAAAGTGATGGAGTAGGCCATACAAACACGAGGTTGAAGAGTGGTCCAGGTGGCAGGAAATGTGCAAAGTTCTTGAGATCAGCAGGCCACTGTAGTTGAAGAGAGTAATAGGAGATTGGGGAGTCGGGTGCATAATAGGTAGATCACTGTTGTTTTCTACCAGTGGCAAGTTTGGCAAAATTTGTTAATGTTAGGGGACATTTTGGTTGTCATAACTTGTGTGGGAGGGAGTGCTCGGGAGACTAGGGATACTGCTAAATATCCTACAATGCACAGGATATTTAGCAGTATCCTTTCAATCCTCCTCCTCCTCCAACCCCAACAAAGAATTATCCAGGCTGTCAATAGTGCCCAGGTGGAGAAATGCTGTTTAAGGTCATAGTGAAGATTGGCTAGTAGTGAGTAAATTGGAATGACACTGAATTGTTTTAAGCTCAGGAATTATTTAAGTTTTAAGGACCATATGGCTATTTGTTTTGAAAAGACTAAAGGGGCAAGAAGGTATAAAACATGTAGGAGGGTATTACAATTACCTAGAGAAAAAATATGGTTTGAGCCAGAATGCCGGTAAGGGTGCTAAGTGATAGATGCTGAGTGTATTTTGAAGGTTGAGCAAACAGGATTTACTAACACACGGGATACATATATACCTACAGGGAGGGAGAGGAACCACCTATAAGTAATCTGCTGTGGCTGGTACTGAAGTTGTGTCCTCCCAAAAGGGACCTGGGGAAGTGGTGGAAAGCTCAACAAATTTGGAAAGGAGGAAAGAGTACCTAATATGGATATTAGGATCGGTAACCAATTGCATCTGTTACATATATATCTTAGGGAAATAAGAATGAACACTGTTGGGCCAGTAAATGCCTCGCAGGGCACAATTATTCTATAGACTAAGTTTCTTTTAAAAACACTTTTTTTTGTTTGTTTTTAGAAATGTCTTCTCATGCCATCTTTCATTTTGGTGATAGTTTGAAAGATGTAGAAGGTCCCAATTCCTTAGTCTATCAAAGTCATTAAGGGGCTTCAATTTTCCTTTCAGTATTTTCATCCCAACCAATTATCGGTGGTTCCTATGTAGAATGCTGACGTATTGTTTAATAACCTTTTTCTAAGCATTTGTTTGGTCTAGTCTAAAACATAAGCTTACCATGAGTCTTCCCGCCCCACCCTCCCAACACTCCAAGATGGAGTTTCACGTTTGTTGCCCAGGCTGGAGTGCAATGGCACAATCTCAGCTCACTGCAACCTCCGCCTCCCGGGTTCAAGTGCTTCTCCTGCCTCAACCTCCCAAGTAGCTGGGATTACAGGCGTCCACCACCACGCCTGTCTATTTTTGTGTATTTTTGGTAGAGACGAGGTTTCGCCCCATTGGCCAGGCTGGTCTCGAACTCCTGACCTCAGATGATTCACCCACCTCGGCCTCCCAAAGTGCTGGGGATTACAGGCGTGTGCCACCGCCCCTGGCCATTATGAATCTTTATATATTAGAAAAGTGCTTAATAAAGTCCTCACCTTATTGTCATAATTTTATAGACCTTATAATCTAATAACTAGGATTATTTCCATTTCAAAGACACAAAACCTGAAGTTTGCAATTACGTTGTTAAAATTATCCGACGATTAATGACAGAAATAGGTCCTGAACCAATATGCCTTTGAGAATTTAAAGGCGGGGAGTTACAGGCCCCCGTAACTGGAATCTTCGCTAGTACCACTAGTTGTTCGGCGAGAGCTCGGTAAGGCCTGGCCATTCGGAAGCTCGTGGTACTCAGGTCATGATACGGGAGACCTAACACTCCTCCTGCACAAATCCATGTCCTGCTTATTTCGTCCCAAACTCGTGTGGCGGCGGCTATTCGTCCAGGCGCTGGCGGGCCAGGGTGGAGGTAATAACACAGCTCGCGTTCCCTTTGTAGCCGCGCCCTCTCCTTCCTCTGGGCGTCTCCAGGGCGTGGACAGGCCGCTGGAAGGAACCGGCTGCGGCCTGCGCGAGGTTCCGAGGGCCGCTGCACCACGAGGCCGACACAGCTGGAGAGAAGTTAGAAAGGGCCTACCGCAGGCCTGCTGGAGTGCTGGGCCCGCCTCCCCGCGGGATTGCAGGCCCGGGGCCCCGCCCAGTGCTGAGCGGCAGGCGGGAGGCGGGAGGCGGCAGGCGGCGCGCGCTACCCGGCAGCGGGGGACACTGAGGCCCGGTCAGTTTCTCGGTCAGGGGTCCGAGGGTGAGAGGCTGCACCCCCGCACTTCCGCAGCCCAGCTCTCCGCTCGTAGTGCCCTAGCCGCTGCCCCGCCCGGGGAAGGGCTGCGGTCGGAGTGAGACGCCAGGGCTCCGGGCCGTGTCCCGGGCCGCGTCCCAGCCCCCGGCCCTCAGCCCCGGCTCAGGCAGGGTCGCTGCTTCCGCGTTTCGTTCCTGGCTTTTTCCCCGCTTGGAGTGAGAACCAGGAGTCTCCTTCATCTCCGGTTTGCCAAAAGCGGGGTCCGAGGTGTTAGCGGAAAAGAGGGTGGAGTTTGTCTTTTTGCCGGTGCAGAGAGAACTTGGGGCGGGAAGTTAGTTCGCTGCGCGGTAGTGGAGGCCCGGGGATGGCCGGGGGTCCCTGGTGGGCCAAGCACGGACGGACCGGGCAGCTGAGCGGCGCTGCTCTCGTTGATTGACGCAGGGTCAGGGGCCGCGGCGGGGTTGGAGGTCAGCCCTGGCTTATGTTAACCTCTGGGTACCAGTTTGCCCGGAAGCTCATGTTGAGGACTTCATCTTAGCCCCGGAAGGCACCCAGAAGCTGAAGGGACACCGTGACAGGGACTGGCCCTGAGAGGAGGCTGTCGCTTCCCGGAGCAGATGAACTCGGGACCCGCCCCCAGGATGTGACTTTCATAGGGTCTCCTTTCTCGCCTCAAGTCCTGATGCTGCTGTCTTGCCCCAAAGTGTGTTTATCCTCTTGATAATTATTTAGAATTTATGCCTTAATCAGTAGTTTACACTTCGAAGACTTTAAGTTTTAAATCAGCAGATCTGTACTAGGCACCAGCATCTATAATGTACTGGTGAAGGGAAACCTCCACAAAAACTTCCTATTTTAGAATACAATCAATGCTCTAGGCACGGTTCACCATCCAAATTCCTAGCTTCCCTTGTGTGCTTATCAGGAGGACAGGTGAATAATGTTAAAGATAGAAGCAGCGACTCTACCCAGGACGACGCTGCTAAGTAGAAAAGCAGGGCATTGGATTAAGTGAAGGAGGAAGAACCTGTTAAAGGAAAAACAGACACTTTCTCTTACGGAAGATAAGGTTACATAAAGAAAACTTTACATTTATGTATATATGTTTATAGTTAACTTTCATATCAAAAGCCCTTAATAGTTTTTAAAAATTCTTCAGAAATACTTAGAGGATCATGGTTACCTTTTCAGGAATGTATGCTAGCGCATATATTTATGTATGTGTGTATATATATATATATATATATATACTTCCCCTAAGAAATTTTCTCTTTTGACTCAAAATCTCCCATTGAAAAATTTGATAACCTGTGTACAATTAGTTGATTAAAGTTGCATGGCTATACTATGGAGATTATGCTTTTGTTGGTGGTGGCACAGCAGTAATCTGCAAGGCAGTAATCTCTGGGTACCTTCCTAGGGCTAAGATGAAGTCCTCAACGCGAGTTTTATGGCAAATCTCATCACATTTCACTGTGATGAACTGAGAAGGAGAGAGTAAGAGGACAAAATGCTGAGAATATTTTGGCAGCCTGGGAACTACCCCATGGCCTAGTATTCTGCTAAATTATATATCCATAAAAATCCCTGGCTCATGTAATAAACGTTTACTGAGTACCTCCATGGTGTCATATGCTTTGCTTGGTGGTGGTGATGTCCATTGCCATTGTCTGTTTTCCCAATCCGCTTCTTTGTTCTTTTCTAGTGACTGAAGACCCTCTCATTTTTAACGCTTCACATTCTCAATGAAAGCAATAATTCCATGTATATGAAATATATTTTCTTTTTTCATTGGAAATTGTTAATTTCTTGTTTCTTAAGATTTATCCTGCACTGTTAATATGTGCTTATGTGCTATAGACCCCCTAAATGAATTTTGGAAATATATTAAATGACATTTGATTGATTCTGTTTTTTTTTTTTTTTTTTTTTTTTTTTTTTTTTTT